TTGACTTTGTAATTCTAAATGTCTTGTAGGTATTAATTTTGTTCTGTGCTGTTTCCAGGTGCTCGGCCGACTTCCTGGCCAGCTGTAAGTAACAGCTTTTCAAATCCTGGTAATGGTTACCTCAAAACGCAACACCCTCCAACTGTAGTRACCCAATCAAGCAACAAAATGAAACCAAGCCCGAGTATAATGGAAAACCATAACCATGTCCACGCACACACCGAGCCAGGTATGACGCCTTTAGCCATCAAGAAAGCTCTTCAAAAACAAGAATGTGACAATCCRCCACAACCGACCGTGTTGCCGAACCATTGCGGGAGTAACCATAGCAACCAGCCGTTACTGTCCCTCATGTCCCATGGTCGAGGTGTCAATCAAACTCCGCACAGTCATCCCAACCATAACCACAACCACACAGAATACGGCGGTGGGCTGCCCCCCAGGCCTCACTCGGCTTCAGGCAACTTAAGTAGTGCCCAGGTCTTTAGTAACAACTCCAACACTGCTCATATTGACCACTTTCCATATGGAGGCCAACAGGGACCATACGTCAATCATGTGACCACGTACGCCCAACAGATGTATTATCCGGGGGGGTACTACTATTACTACCCTCAACAGTAGMCCATCCCTTCCTTTTCGATACCATTTTGAGATTTTGTTCTTCCATTTAATTTATTGATTCTTTCTAAATCATCAAAATGGGACTTTCTTTGCGTTGATGGCTATTTTGGTTGATTATGTGGGATTTATGATTGTAAACAAGTTTTATTCAAGGGGAACACGCATGTCTTGGTAGGTTGTCACGTGGTTAGCACGTATGTTTCGCCCAATTAAAATCTCTTATTGTGAACTTGTGTCGTCTTGACTTTTCTCGTCAACACTTAGTGGTCGACGCTACCCTGAATAATCATTCGCAATAAATGGTTCACCATGTACGGTACTTCATAACCAGAAACGAAAGAGAATTTCTAGTTTCCAGGTGTCTAGTGTTTGCTCTGGGTTACACTAACGCGCTGAACTGGGACAGCATGTTTATTTGATCAAAGGCAAATTAGTTTTTATTATTATTATTTATTTATTTATTTATTTATATACTTTTTTATCTACTTTTTTAATTAATGGGCTTATCCACGCGAGGCATAGTAGAGACTTGCCACTCGAGGCTTAGAACAAACTTTGAACCCCTGGACGTTATGCAAAATTCTCTCGTGTCTGGCCTGGAAGTACCMCGGGAAAGTACCGTGCAATAGGAAGTTGGCTTCTTTTGAAGTTTTTCTCAAAATATCTCGAGGRATATTTTTCTTTGTCTTGTGAAGTTTGAGCACAGGTAAGATTATTTAGCAATAACAAAGTGAAGTTCCAAAGATATTGTAGCAAGAATCAGTGCTTTGTGAACGTGATACACGGAGTCGGATGGAGAACCGACTTCGCTGGTTGGCCGGCATTGGCAATTTTCAACATAGATTCGGGGGGGAAAAATGAAAATATCTTTTTAAAAATCTAATTTTATTCAGAAATGATATAGCAATAGATAGGATTAATTATAACTCATTAACTGGACAGGTTTTCACGGAGAAGACTTATGTATACACCCTTTTAATAAGTCCCGAGGTATTACCTTCTCCGCACTTGACGTCAAATTTATTCTTTTGAATTTCTTTTGTATTGTAAAAATTTCAAAAGAATAAATTTGACGTCAAGTGCGGAGAAAACAATACCTCGGGACTTATTRAAAGGGTGTATAGATTTCTTAGTGTGAGATTCGAACTCTCGACATTGTACGTTGTACATGGTCTCGATGCCATTAGAAGCCACGGGACATAAGTCTGGGCTGGTTGTGAATTCTCCGATCCATAACCCCTTAAACCTAATGTCACGCTTGAAAAAAAGTGCACAGAAACCTACAACAAAAGGTTTCCTAACCATTTCTCTCTACAAACTCTGCTGCCAGTGACTGTATTCAATAAAACGATGTGTTCTCACGTGATGGAGTAGAGGCAGGCAGAGGGTCTATCCCTGATACTTTCATAAGAAGGGACAGCTTTCATGAGTTTTAGTTCCTATTGACTCTACTCCCTTCTCTTCCTTGCCTCCTTTATTTCCAACACCCTGTGTGCCTGTGTACCTGAGCCTGGATCAGTCTTACAAATCAATATGCCTATTTCGAAAAAAGGTTCGACCGAAGAGAGCCATGGGTCTTCTAATTGGTGTGAAATAATAACTGATTTATACGCAAATTGAATCCAACAAGTGAAATTTTGCACGTCAAACAACGTCACTTCGACAATCGCCGTTCCCCGACAACGTTTTTTGAAATAGGTATTTTATATATTTCTTGACAATTTTTGCTGATTATCAGCAAAGGCTTTATATTGTTAGCTGTAAAACAAATCCAAGAGAACCAATTTAAGGATACGGAACGAAGAGAAGGRGAATGAATCCAGGACTCCTGCGAAGATTACTGAAAACTGATCGTCGACTTTTCGACTTCCGGTCATAATGCTTACCAGGCGCGAAAGCATGTATCAAATATCTTTAGGAATGTTTTGATTTTACAGTGATACAACATCGTACTTAACCGCGTGCTTACCAAACCAAGTACATAAATACCACAATGGACGCTGATGATAAGGTATGGTGTATATTAATAATAATCATATCATCTTAAAGAAGTTTTATGATAGTATAAGACTTCCATGACATGGAATTTTAGTACATGACCACATGGTATTGTCCTTGGTACATGACGCCTTGTTTGACATCCATAAATATAGGTTATGTAAATATACAAACTTGCATTCCTCAAGGAAAGATCAAGCGTTGTTACTAATAGACTCGGACTACAKTGCATTTGGCTGCTTTAGTGCAGTTGTCTCAGTTRAACTCACATTCACATCCTAGAGTGACTATATCCCGGTTTCGTATTCTAAGCCCTGAGGTAGTATATCATTACTTTGTAGATGGAGCCGGCCTCGGGTGAACCCTCCAGTCCACAAGAATCTGATAAGGTAGGAGAATTCACTGAAATATATTATTAGGTACCTATAAGTATAAGTACATTAGCGCCCAGTTATTATAATAATCGTTCTCAGTTTCACCATTGTAGTTTTAAATTATAAATGGCATAACACTTAGAGCGCGAAACCATAGTTAATATTAACTATGATATAACTGATAATATCAAACTGTGGTTCGAAGGATTCTTAAGAATGCGCTATATAATCTTTTTGYTCAAATTGTTCGCGGAAATTCGGCATTGCATCATGCTTAAAACCATTAGCATAGCTGATAAAGTTCATTTATTAGACCTTTCAGGYTTAGACAGAACTGAAACTGTTTTATTAACGTCGCACTTGTATCCATTACACGATTTAGCAAGGTTATAGTCTAGTCATGTATCCCTAGTGTCCCTAGTGTCCTAGTGGGTAACTCCCAGTGCTGACTCACAATGACTAGCTAAAAGTACTCTCAGAGCAAGCAAAACATTGRTAAAATATGAGATTGGAAATAGCCCAGGAGCTTGTAACAAATTCCGGCGAATTTCGAGCTAACAACAGATGATTCAGGATCCACTAGTAATATTATAGAGCTCAACGTTTGAGCGCGCTTTTTTCACTCCAGTAGTTTTCGCGTTTAGTTTATTATTCAAAATCTCTTGTGGGCTTATCTAGTTGTTTTATTATATAACAAACCASGTTTATTTTTCAAATGTTAATACGTTTAGTGGTCCACTTATCGACAAAGAGGACTCTCTMTTCTCGTTTGTCTTCTTCAAGTTGAGAAYCAGGWCCTGGCGGAAAAGATCCCGAGTMCCACTGCGKACTGGACGTGTTTTCACKGGCCTAATAAACCTTKACTCAAATCAAAAATCTCTCTTAAGTTATTCGAAAATATAGATGTCGTYCATAAATGTTTATAGAATGCCATGGTCTCCTCAAATATTTACAAACTCGACCAAAAGAAGCCATCTTTGGAATCTAATAAATGACAGCTAACAACAGAAGTGATCATAGTACTGTTTACAGAGGGTTTTATCTTTTTATTGTTGAAAATTGAATTTGTGGCTTAAAATGAACTTAGAATTTAGGTTTATTTTCAGATTAGCAATCTTTAGACTAGATTATTACCTTAAATCCCGARGGAGGGAAGGTCAACAGAAATTTAAACACTTCACTTTGTTTTTATCAGAAGACTATCATGGAACGTTCTTTTGAAAAACRAGGTCATCACGTTGTGATAAAAAAAGATAACTCTTTTTATTTTCGTCGTTATTTTCGTCGTTATTCTTGTCTGTTTCTATCGTTTTCGCAATTTTTCGGTATTTCGCTAACGAAACTCGGCACTAATAGTTGTTTTAAAATTCTCTAGAATTCATTCATTTTAAGAAATAAATGAATCCRAAAAATCCATTGAAACTAGTGATATTATTGGTGATACCATATAATTTGTTTTCTATTCACGTGGTTTAGATGAGTAAATTTTATGAACCACTTTCATCGGGCATAGAAACGATGATCCAAATCAGTCTCAGAAGACTTTGTGCTTTTGTTGAAGTGCTGTATTCTTTCTATTTCTTTGATTGCAGACTGTTGTTAAAGTATGGATTTCATTTACTTCCATAAGTGACATTGATGTCATTAAACAKCAATTTACAGCAGAATTCATCATGACGGCGACATGGYTGGACCAAAAGTTAGAGGGAAAGAAAAACGAGGTTCGTTGGCTTGTAATGCATTTATCTTCGTTATCAAAGTTTGCAGCTGAAAAGGGCCGGAAATATTTCACTCAAGATAACTCCACCAGTTTTTTACTGCGACGCAAACCCAACGCAATGTCAATGCTAAGCGCAAACCCTGTGAAAACAAATATCGCGTAAAAACAGAAGTACATAACATGTACTTCTGGTAAAAACCAACTCAAGCGCAATGACGCAACACGAGTATCAAATATTTCGTATTGTCATCTTTCGATTGAGCTTTTTGTTTTCTTTGAGTAATATAATCCTGGCAAGCCACTAGCTTGTGCGGCAATAATTGCGTCTGCGTCTGCGTTTGGTGATACTACTGTAACACCAAAGTTAATAAAAAAATGCAGCCCCAACACAAGCGTAAGATCAGTGGAAAAATCTTAATCCTTGAGTTGGGCCTTGCKCTACTCTCTTGAGTTTGGTTTTGCGTTGGGTCGGAAATTACGGTGCCTTTATTAACCRGTAAAATTAAAGCGAAAGGACATGCCACAAAGGGCTTTATGTAGAAAGCAGAAGTATCCTGAATGAACTGTCATCTTGTTGCTTCGCTCATTTGGTGCTTAGTCTATTGGCAGAATTCCGCACTCGTTGTCAAAACTTTGAATTCAAATTCTTTATTGTCTTTCATCGTAGGACATTGATTGGAGTAAAGAATGGAACCCAAACATCACCTTCCCAAATGGAGCCAACATAGAAAACATAGAAAAAKCACARAGACTGTTCACTATGGAGCAGGATGGTAAGAATGTCACACAAGTCCAGGAATTGTACAGGGTCAGAAGAACTTTTAGAGCAACCATGGGGTTGAGTAATTTCCCCTTAGACTCACAGGTAACATACTGACTCACAGGTTATAATATATACTATACTTTGGTTTCATGATTCTCTAGTGGAATAGCCGCGACCTCGATGAACTCTAAAGCATGGTTCATACGACGGCACAAGCAGAAGCATAAGTCACGGAGAACAAAAGAAATAACAAAGGAATAAAGTTATGCGTACGGTATAAGGAATCGACATAAGCATAACAATAAGCATAAGACTAAGCATAAGCAATTAAAGACAAAAGAGAACAAACAAAGCATACAATTCCCTTTGTCTTCTTAATACAAATCCCTAAATCTGTTGTTGTTGTTGTTGTTGTTTTTTTCTTATTTTATGATGTCTAGTGATTGTGGCTTAAGAAAAATCCCCCAAGGCTTTAAAGTATAGCTTGATTGTTTCAGGTTTCAAGGATTTCTCTTGAAAATTCTTTTGATTATCATATGCTGATCATTTCCTTCCTACTTCTTTTCCTCCTTCCCTTCCTTCCTTCCTCCGTCCTTCCCAAACGTCCTCCATTCGTACCATTTAATACCACAGTATTTTTTTTTTTTGCTAAACAGGAGTTATCCATCGTCCTATCATCTGATTGGTCGGACAAAAACGTCGTATTCGAAAAAGACATGTTCAAAGATGACAATATAGCGACTGATGCCGGCGCATCGTCACCCGAGTGGTTACTTTGCAAACACGTCCATACAGATGTTGATTCTCAAGTTACGAAACTCCCTGGTCCGCCGAGTGACGCTGCTCAACCGTTGTACGTCATAAGATGTCACGTGATTAGAAAGCCCTGGCATTACTTCTGGAACATTGCGTTGTTGATGGTAAGCGGTAGTTGTTGGAGAGCTTCTTTGTTCTTTGTGACATCTTGGAAGTTAACTGTGCCTTTGTATTGAGGCTAAAGGACCGGTGAGATTGCAATAATCGGWATCCATCAATAATCGTCTTCTATCACTTAAAGAACATTAGTAAGCTGTGCCAGTCTCACGTTGTTGCAGAGACACGGTTAATTTGATGGCTTAGGCAACAATAAAGAATATTGGTGATAAGTTATTGGAAATCATCTTCAACCGATAACCACGGGCAAGGCCTCCAATACTGTTTTCAATCGCTTAGAGATACGTACTATTGCCAGAAAACTGCACAAATTTCTTCACTTGATTTATGTGTTGCTATTTTATTATGTTTTTCTTTGTTTGATTTATTTATGATGTGTGTTTTTAGTTTTTCATCACTGGACTGTCGTTTGCGTCTTTTATGTTCACCGCATACCAACTTATTATTGCCTTGGTGATACTGCTGACCGGTGTGGTATTCAAGTTTGCTGTTACAAGAAACCTTCCGTCAGTACACTACTCAACGCTACTGGTAACATTTACTGATTGCTATAAGTTATCCATTTATTCTTCACGTTTATAGTGCATTTCCGTCTACTGCGAAAAGAAATCTTTGAGCTTTGCGAGACTTCACGGAGGCACACAAAATAAAAATCTTCGTATTTTTTCCGTTTTTGTCCTTCATACAATTCCTAAATCTGTCAAAATCTTTGGGGCCCCTCTTACCCCACCCTCCCTTCCTTAGATCCTTTCAATAACCTTATGCTTTCAACTAATCTCATGCTAAAAAGACCAGAATGCTTTGCCCTCTATTATATGTAGTGTCATTAGTGTAAAGCATTGTGTAATTGGTTGCAACATGACGCAGACTTGCAATCCATCCGCAGGATCTCTAGACTCGCTCTTTTTCAAAATGGTGTCGCCCGTCATTTTGTGAGCAGAGAAGGCCCTGATGACGAGATATCTCATGTCATAGTATAGTTTTCGACAACATTTTTGTGTAAAAATATAAACTTGATGAATAAATATTTCTTGTGACATATTTATCTCTTTTTTGATTTTTTTTCAGGATAAATACTTCTGCATCCATTTGATGTTTATTTGTTTGGTTGCACTGTTGAGTATTGGCACCACAGCTCTTGGGACACCATTATACAACCTTGCGTGTACTCTAGGAACTCTTGGTATTTTTGCCATTATACAGCTCGTGTGTGGTATTGTGAGCTTCTTAAAGGTTAATTTTTCAAGTAACTTGATTGTTGTTTTAGATCACAATGAAACCTTTATACGTTATGAGCGCTCTATGTGTTAACGTCTGTGGAAACAGTGACAAAAACCATCATTTGTAAAATTAACCCCTATCAGGAACAGGCACATCATGGTTACCTATGTATATCATGGAACTTTTTATGTTACAGAAAACGTTTAAATCAATCGCCATTTATTCTTTATAAGACTAACCTCTATATCGCTGMCACACCTAACTTGTAAATTCAATCTCGCTTACAAGAAAACCTGCCCTGGCATAAACTTATCAATAATATTTCAAGCTCTGTGCATCATTTTTGAGTGAGAATTAACGATGAATGTCATTTTCAGCTACGAGCATCACACCAAGTAGAAACCAAGTATTCAAATATATACCAGGTGAACATTTCTCATTGCTACCTACATACTCTAAATCTATTGTTATCCGTCCTCACTTCCCTAGTTCCCGAGAAGCAATTGTGTGAAACAGTCTTGTATTCAAACAGAAACGAGCCGATGAAATAGAACGCATGCGAAGAGAACGAGACTGGTATGCTGAGAGAAGTAAAATGCCTAAGACACCCACCATCCTWCTGACCCCAGCCACAGCAAGACAGTTCTTGTTTCCAAGCAATGGCAGCACACCCAAATCCAAATCCAAATCACGGTAGGTTTCATGTCACGAAATTATGTAGAATAGACTACCGCACGCTTACTACATGAGTATGTTGTGCACGCAGTATGGGTCAATGATGTTCAGCTGGAAATACTATGAAAGGTTCCCTGCTACGAGCCACCCTCACTCAAACAGACACAAAAGGAAACAATGCAATTAGTGTACTATAATATCTATTTCACGGTTTTTTTTTAATCACTCTATAAATGTATCGTTTTCACGCATTCCCACTAGAGTCAAAAAATAAAAGACCGGCGGCCATGTTGGAGTAATCGAACAATAGATACTAATGAGAAATCCTTTGATGAAGAATACGAAGAATAATGATACGAAGAATAATGATAATTTCCATCTGTTACAGGGCCAGCCCAGGAAAGGTGATCGATCCAACTAAGTCGTACGTGTAAATAGAGGCCTTTTTGTCAYGAACATCGTGAGATGGATGAAGGTCTCCGCCCGACTATTTCATCTCATGTTTATATTTCTTACTTTTTATAAAAGAGATATTGTGTTTTTTTTTACCTGCATAATAAATCAAAATAACCTTAGCTGAGACTGACTGTGTTTTCTTATCCGATTCACGTCCCACTGAGGTGACTATGTAGTACACCTAAAAAGACATTTCCAATGTTTCAATTGCATATTATTATTATTATTATTAATTGTCACGTGTCTTGATATATATGTAGTTTCTGTTCGTGAAACAGTCTCTAATATTTCCATATAAAWTTTTAAAAATGTATTGCATGTCATTTCTCCTCTAACTGATAACTTCATAAGTGTCATGTTCTTGCAATGCTTGTGACATGCGCGTTTCATCATGCTATTTTACTCACAAAACACATTTGCATGGAAAACATTGCTTATGTGGACATATCGCTCTATTAGGTGAACGACCTTTCGGCTGGTCGGCTGTATAATGTCCACTTTTAGTTTGACAAACATTCCAGTCCATTTGATTTGATAAACCACTATAGTCCCTGTCACACTGCAGTCTCATCTGTCAAACAAACGGCACCGCRTCACTGAATAGCGTGATTCTRTRTAAGTAAATAATACTCGTTTACGTGATCCACTGACTTAGGATAACCTTGGTAACTTACTACATACGTTATTTGCACAACAATGGCTTCAAATCGCGAAGAMGTTAGCATTCCCSTGGCAGATCATCCAGATAAAGCTACKATCACCCTCAAAAGATCMTTAGGCATTCCTAGTGGAATAGCTCTCCTTGTTGGCACCATCATTGGATCAGGAATCTTTGCTACTCCAAAATGGGTTTTGATCTATTCAGGATCTGTTGGTCTGTGTCTCGTCGTCTGGATTCTAGGAGGTTTTATAAGTCTTCTCGGTGCTTTATGTTACATCGAGCTCGGATTATTGATCCCCAAATCTGGAGGTGAATATGTATATTGGAAGGAGTCGTTTGGTCCTCTGTTAGCGTTTTTGTTCGCATGGGCTGTAATTGTTCTCAGATGCCTAGGCAACGCAATTCTGGTRCTCATATTTGCTTCTTACGTCATTGAGCCCTTTTTCCCGGGTTGTTCAGCTAGGGAAGACTTGATACCTTTGCAGAAAATAACTGCTGTGTCTGCCGTGGGTAAGTGATGTTTCCAAGATTCTGAATTAGTTCTTGTTTAACCCTTATCAAATCTATCAATACTACAGAATAAACCAGTCAATTATTATTTACTYTATTTAGAACGATTTCACATGCAAATTAGTTGTGACTGACCTAAGATGAGATGTTACCTTGATAGTAATCAAGGCATTAGCATAGTGCCAGTTTGACTGTTAGGGTTAGAAAAAAATGATGAATGTTTCGGGCTAGCCGCAATTGTAAGAATACTTATTCACTTACGGTGTACTGTATTTCAGGTGTAATCTCGCTGGTCAACTGCTTCAGTGTTAAATGGGCGAGTMGAGTACAGATTATATTTACTGTTGCCAAGATGATTGCCATTGTCATGCTTATTTTGACTGGTCTCGTCAGGATTACCCAAGGTATTTATTACGTTCATACACTCCTAGATATTAAAATGGTAAAAATGAGAATCTGTCAATAATTCACTTGTTCTTTAACAGGACATGTTTCAAGTTTCAAGGATCCTTTCAAAGGAACAAACCCGAAGGTTGAAATGATAGGATTTGCTTTTTACAACGCGCTCTTTTCGTATGATGGATGGTAAGATTTCCCTTTTTATGTTGCTGCAGTGACAGCGAGGAAAAATGAAGAAATTTGCACAAGGAACGTTAATAAAAGCACAAGGASTGGGGGCTGAAAATATAGCTGTTGTGATTTGAAGGGATTGAGAAGACAAAACAAGGTGTTTTTCTTTTTTCTTTTGTCTTTCATTAGGTCATGTCTGTTGTTGTGCTTATTGCTATGCTTGTGTCGATGTCATATGCTGCTAGCTTGACTTCATTCCTTCTTCTTAGTTCTTGTTGGCTTATGACTATGCTTATGTCCTAATGATATCTAGAACTAAATTAGGTAGTACCTATAATTGCATTTTATTTCCTGAACACAGCGTAAGCCATATTCTACTGTAACCGCGGCTCAGCCAGATTTCAAATTATAAGATAGTTTTTGATGATTTTCTTTTCATTTCTWCATTTCAGGAATAATATTAATTATGTCATCGAAGAATTCAAAAATCCCAAAAGGTTTGATATCATGATGAAATTGCAGCCTGCCAACTTTTACGCATGCACTGACTTTGTTCTTAGAAATACACCATGTTATGTCTGAAACATATTCTACAATGCATTGTATATACGATACATGACGTAAAAGATTCAGAGGTCTTTTTTTCGCGACAATTTTTCGTGAAACGAATCTTCCATTCTAYATGCCTGCTCAATGGTTGTTCGATGATACGTTCATTAGGTACRATAATACGAGCATCAAAATCGCCCAACTGGTCTCGCAAACAAGTTGGAAAGCTGAAAGTTGCTGAGCGTATTACCGTACCTTTATCTTCAAAGGAGCTTTCCATGAAAATGTTTGCTGTTTATTACACAGTTACACTGAACAGGCACCGCGGAGCCCGTAAGA